TGCCACCACCATTGCGTCCCCGACCTCTAGTACGTCCACCAGGGGTTGGATTTGCAGTTTGATCAGCAACTTTTTCCATAGTTTGCGATTCCTGCGATTGAAAAACATTAGGAAATTGCCCTTCTTCGATGTTGAATTGGGCATCAATGGGAATATCACCACCATAACCAGAAGAATCCATTATGAAAAATAAGAGAGATTGAGAGCGCTTTGAGAGAGCTTAAGAGAGATCGAGATTTGAGAGAGATTTAAGCGAGATTAAGAGAGATTTAAGAGAGATTAAGAGAAATTGAGAGAGATTAAGAGAAATTGAGAGAGAATGAGAGTTTTGGGGTGAGAAAAATGGTTGGGGGGAGGGGGGTAGTTATAGGAAAATTTTTGGGTTGAAAAAAATAATTTTTTCCCCAAAAATTCGGGTCCAACGGCTACACAATTTTTGGGCAGTTCGGGCAAAAATCGGGCAGTTCGGGCAACGACACAAAATCCGACCGTTGGGTTCAAAAATTCGGGTTCGGGCAGAAGACCTTTTTTTTTTCAAAATTCGGGCATTTTTCGGGCTAACGGTAAAAAAAAATCGGGCATTTTTCGGGCACGGGGCAAAATTCGGGCAACGGTCACAAAAAATTCGGGCAATTCGGGCAAAAATTCGGGCAGCTTCAGGTATTGCCAGAAAATTCAAAAAAAATCCGGCGAACGGCGGGAGACGGCTTCTCCACGGCGGCGGCCTGTCGGGGGGCTTACTCTTTTCGGGCTACCCGAGCCCGTGCCCGAAGAAAAGCATTTTTGGGCGGCGAGAGGGGCCTGCCCGCCGTGCTCGAAAATTTTCGGGCATCGAGCAGGCCCACCGCCCGAAAGTTCAGCACTGGCCGTGACTTTGGAGGGGTCTGCCGCCAGTCCTTCTCCCGAAATTATGTGGCCGAGATACTCTACCCTTGATCGGCCAAAAATACACTTCTTCTTGTTAGCATATAGCTTTTCTCTTTCCAAAATCTCCAACACCTTAGTCAAATGCTCCCTATGCTCCTCCAAGCTTTTGCTATACACCAAAATATCATCGAAGAACACAAGGACGAATCGGCGAAGGTATGGTCAAAATACCGAGTTCATTAATGCTTAGAATGCCGCCGGGGCGTTGGTGAGGCCGAATGGCATCACTAGGAACTCATAGTGGCCCTCGTGTGTCCAAAAGGCAGTCTTCTCCACATCACCCTTGAGGACCCGAATTTGATGGTATCCCGCCCTCAAATCCAACTTTGAGAATACTTGTGCTCCATGGAGCTCATCAAGGAGCTCGTCGATCACCAGAATAGGGAACTTATCCGGGACCGTTACTTGGTTTAAAGCGCGATAATCCATGCAAAAACGCCAAGTACCATCCTTCTTTTTCACCAAGAGCACCGGACTCGAATAAGGGCTACAACTAAGCCGAATTATCCCCGAAGTCAACATATCCGTCACCAACCGGTCAATCACCCCCTTTTGAAAATGTGGATAGCAATAGGGTCGGACGTTGGGAAGGTTCGCCCCATCCTTCAATACGATACAGTGATCCTGAACTCTCTTAGGGGGCAGCCCCTTAACCTCCTCAAAACCTCCCCCGAACAGCGTCAACACTCCCTGTAGCTCCTTGGGAATTGCTTCAACAACCCCTTCCTTGCCATCTCCCACTACCTCACAAACTTCTAGCAATACTCCTACTGGGTGAGGCCCGAGAGATCGAGCCATCGAACGTAAGCTTGCAGGCGTGTAGCATAAAGAGGGGTCTCCTGACCAACTCACCCACTCCTTCCCCTCCTTAAACTTCATCGTGAATCGAGACCAATCCGCTCTCACCTCTCCCAATCTACGCAACCACGTCACTCCTAACACCACATCGGCACTTCCTAACTCAAATGGGAAAAAATCCTCCACCACCTTGTAACCTTGAATCATCAACTCTACTCCCCGGCAAACACCTTGTTGTCTGATACACACTCCGTTCCCCACTTGCACACCACACCTAACCGAGGAATCACAAGGCAGCCCCAACTCTTAGACCACCAATTTCGACACAAAACTGTGAGAAGCTCCACTATCCACCAACACTACCACCTCCCGCGAACCAATCCATCCTTTGACTTTCATGGTTTTCACAGAGTTTACTCCCATTAGAGAGTTAAGATAGAGATCTACCTTCTCTACCGCTGAGTCTTCATCGGAGCCTTCCTCCTCCTTGACTTCCCCTTCTATTTATGAATCATCTTCAGTCGCCAACAGAATTTGGAGTTGCTTGTTCTTACAACAGTGCCCGAGGCTAAACTTCTCATCGCATTTAAAGCAAAGCCCACGGGCATGTCATTGTTGCATCTCCTCCTCCGACATCCGGCGGTATCCCCCTGCACCACCACCCGACGGACTAGAAGCCCCCAACAGGGAAGCTCGTCCCCTTCCAACATCCCCCAATTCCCGGCCGGTGTTGGATCGAAGGGAGCTCCCCGGAAACGAAGGCCGGCTGGTGGTACCATCATTGAACGAATAGGACCTTCCCAATCCTCCAACCCGTCCACTCTTCCACTGCCCCATTCTCTCCACCGCCTCATTTCGATCCTCGATTTGTTGTGCTATCTCCATCACTTCTTGGAGAGTAGCCGGTTTATGCATCTTCACCTCCGCTCTAACATCCTCTCGGAGTCCATTGAGGAAGAATCCCTTGTAAAATGCATTTGGCATTCCTCTCACCGGAGCCGAAAGCAATTCAAAACGGTCCAAATAATCCGCTACTGATCCCACTTGCCTCAACGCCATCAATCTCTCCATCAGATCGCCCTCTTTGGCTCTACTAAACCGTTTCAAAATCGCTCCCTTCAACTCCCTCCATCCCACAAACGGATCTTGCGAATCCGTCCACCAAAACCAATTCAAGGCCCGCCCCTCCATGCACATTGAGGCAGCCGACACCTTATCTCACTCCAAGATCTCACACATATCAACATACTGCTCCGCCCTAAACAGCCACCCATATGAATCCTCGCTGGCGAAGCTTGGCATTTCGATCCTTCTCCCCCGAAATTCTCCCATTCCCCGGTGGTTTTCCGGGGTCTCTTGGCAGAACTCCCACTGGTTCTCCCACCTTCGTTCCCCACGGGCCAGCCCCGGATCCCAACCACTTCAGGCCCCAATCAGATCCGGATCCGGGCTGGGTTCCTTGTTCTGGGGATACCCATGACGTCCCCGACCCGGAATGGGCCTCACCTGCTCAAACTCCGGCTCCCATGCCGGTTCCCGCCGCCGTCCCAACTCCGTCGCCCTCTCCGGCAAGCTCGGCCACCTTCCGCCCTCTCTGGCGAGCCCCGGCCACCTTCCCCCCTCAACCCGCCGTCGATATGCACTCCCCGCCGTTGACCCAGACCTCCAATCCCTAGATCTCGCCGGTAGTTGCGATCTTCTAGAAGACCCATGTCTCTCCGGCGCTGGAAATCCCTCTCGCGGCCTGGATCTTCGTGAATCGGCGCTTCCCGGCAAAGATCCACCCGATTTGGTACCTCCACTCTGCCTGGGTCGTCGCGATCTGGGCTCTCCTCGCCCCGAGGCGCGCGATCTCGCCTCTCTCCGTCCCGTCGTTTGCCATCGCGACCCAACTCGGCCTCCCCGGCCATCGGCCGCGCCGCCAGCAGTACCTCCATCCTCCGCAGCGCCGCCTGCACGTCTTCCATTTGAGTCCGAACCTCCCCCAGTTCACCACGCAGCCCAGCCACTTCTTCACGGATCTGCAGAAGATTCTCGGTCACCACCGCGTGGACCGCCTCCTAGACCACCGCCAGTCCCTTTTCCACCGTAGTCACCCTCTCCGGATCCGCTGGTTTTGGTGCCATGGATCGGAGCTCTGATACCAAATAGTTAGGAACCTAACTCAAAAAATCAGCCAAACACCAATACCACACTCACACACACCAGAAACAGCAAGAAAATGACAGTAATCGGAGGGAATTTTATTAATCCAATCAGCCAAGAACACCAAATTACACTAAAATATAAAGAATAAATCGGAGATTTCGAGCTCTTTGGTACTCCCAGCCGTTCCGGCAACACACCAAACATTCAGAAGATGAAAATACTCACTGCCTAAACCTACTGCTCTTCCCCCATTCAAATTACTCATAAATTAGCTCTCTTGCCACGTCAGCCCATCCTAGCCACTTTCAATATTTTCTCTTAGGCTCCTAACTCTGTGTTTTCTACCCGTTTTGCCCCTCCTAGTGTAAACTTGCTTCAGCAGGGGTCTAACAAAATACTAAATTAATAAACAAACAAAGATTGGAAGAAAGATTCTTAGCTTTAAGGACTTATTATAAGCATACTCTTCTCCGAAGATGCTCTTCAGGAATTCCAGAAACCATGCCGACCTCACGGGGCTTAACACCGATTTCAGCCAACGCATCCGATGAGAAAAGTCGCTATCTTTTCTCTGATCGATTGATTCTAGCAACGTTAAATCCGTGTCTAAGAAAGCTCGCCATTTTTTGATTAATCACTATATTGCTTCAAAGTTCCTCTGAATCTCATTTTCGCTTCTTCACGAAAGCACCAGCAGATTCGTAATGCAGTTGGGTATTCCTCTCTCATCCTTCGCGCCAATAAACGCAGCCACGTCGCCACTCTAGATCGTGGCCCGGCATGAAGTAGCCCAATAAATGAGGCCCATAATAAAAATGCTTGGACCATACGTCATCAACGGTCATCTTATACACAATCGTGAGTCAATACAACGTTTTTCGACTTTAGACTGATTCATCGTCGTTCTAAAATGACCGGCCTTGGAATTAATATTATATTTGCGAAACAACCCAGTTGCCAAATTTGTTGTTTTCGACAAGGAATTGCCATTTGCTCTTAGTTATTATCGAGGTAATGTCTTCCAAAGTGGTTTCTTCCCGTCTTGTTCTGCCTCAAAACATTGTGCTTGTCGTAATTGTGTCATATTGCTGAGCCTTTCATAAATGTACCTCAGAAACCTCAAACTCGTTTGTGATTCGTGAAGAACAGCACCAATGGCGTACTACTATAACGCCGATCAAGAGAGTTCCTCGCTCGTCAAGCTCGAACTAGCCTGCTCAGATCTCAAAATCCTCCTAAAAAACTCGGCGAAAATGGAACAAAATCTTGGCAAGATGGACAAGAAGTTTGATCTCATAGAGGAAGCTCTCTCAACGGCCTCAAAAAGAGTAGCTCCTCTACAGTCTTCAGCCATGGCAGCAAAAGCCCTCGAAACCAGAATCAACAGAGCAGTCACGCCTGCCCTGGCTCTCCTCGACAGCTTCAAGCTCTCGGACTCTCTCCAAGAGAAGATCACCGAGCTCTACGACGAATTATCCGCAGAGATGACAGAAAGGAAGAGGCTGAAGAAGATGATCAAGTACGTGGACTGTGTTGACCAGCTTAATATGGCGATAAACACAATAAGTGAAGAGGGTGAGCCGGTAATTCAGAGGCTTCAAGAGGTGGTGGAGTTCTTGAGCAGGACGAAGGCCACGGATCAGAACAGGACGGATAGATTGAGAGAAACTGTGATCACTCTAAAGGCATTGTATGAGACTGAGGTTGATGCAATGAGGTTTGAGGGATCACTTGATCAAGCTTTGTCGAATTTGCAGGACGAGTATGAGAGAATATTGCAGCAGATAAAGCATCAAAATATAGAACAGAAAGTTGACGAGACGGAGAAAATTGGTTCTGATCTTGCCACTGAACTGGAAGTTGAAGTTCTTAGAAGGATTTCAGAGACTCTGGCTGCCAATGATTGTTTGGATATATGCATCGATATTTATGTTAAGGTAATTAATTATTAATTCCAGCCTTGCAAAAGTTTAGTAAACTGCCCTTCGTATGTGAATCACAACTAAAATTCCATAGATCATGAAGCATGTGGCAATATGACAACTATCACAATTGGGCATTTTGTACATGATAAAACAAATCATTTAATCTACTTTTCCAGGAGAAAAAAAAAAAAAAAAAAAAAAGAGCAGCCACGGAATTCTACTTTTCAGTTTCCTATAGGGGAGAAGAGTAGTTTTCCAAGAAAAACTAATTAAGAAGTAACAACCATGTCTTATCAAAATAAGAACTATACTATAATGAACTAGCCTTGTCTCTCTCTCTCTCTCCCTCTCTTGGATTCTTTGTTTGTTCCGCCCAAAAAGCTGGCCCCATATATATAACTGAGTCAAACAATATACCATTTTGTTTTCAAGCAAAAAATTTATCATTTTGCAATTTGACAGGAAAAAAAAGCTTTTAACTCATACCTGTTATGTTTCCGGCTGAAAACATGAACAGGTGAGATACAGAAGAGTAGCGAAAGCATTAATGCGACTGAACCCAGACTATCTTCGAACTTACACACCAGAAGAAATCGACGAGATGGAGTGGGAGAGTTTGGAGACTGCCATTGCCCTTTGGATCCAACACTTCAAGCTCGCCGTCAAGGACGTCTTCGTCTCCGAGAAGAAGCTCTGCAGCCAAGTCCTGGGGGGCGTCATGGAGGGACTAATCTGGACGGAGTGCTTCGTCAAGATCGCCGACAAGATCATGGCCGTCTTCTTCCGCTTCGGCGAGGGCGTCACCAGGAGCAGCAAAGAGCCTCAGAAGCTCTTCAAGCTTCTCGACATGTTCGACTCCCTCGAGAACCTCAAGCCCCAATTCTCCGAGGTCTTCGATGGCGAATCCGGCGCAGATATCTGTTGCCGATTCAGAGAGCTCGAAAAGCTTCTCATCCACGCCTCCAGCAAAGTGTTTTGGGAATTTGGCCTCCAAATCGAAGGAAATTCGGACGGTTTTCCGCCTCCAAGAGACGGCTCCGTCCCCAAATTGATCAGATACGCCATTAATTACCTCAAATACCTAGCCACAGAGGATTACAGCCTTTCGATGGAGAAAGTCCTCCAAACAGAGCAGATTTGGAAGTCCGGAGTCTTGTCCAACCGCGGAAACGACGATAATCTATTCAGAGACGCGATCTCCAACGTCATGGAAGCTCTGCAGAGAAACATCGAGTCGAAACGACGTCGCTATAGAGACAACCAGATTCTCTCCTATGTTTTCTCCATGAACACGTACTGGTATATCTACATGAGAAGCAGAAACACCGAGATCGGAAAGCTTTTAGGAGATCAATACATGAAGAGGAAGTACAAAGCCGTTGCAGAGGAATCGGCTTACTTGTACCAGAAGCAAGCTTGGGGAAACTTGACAAAACTGTTGGATACGGAGGATCTTCTGAAGGAAGAAAAGAGCAAAGAGGAGACGGGGAAACTGATGAGAGAGAAAGTCGAGGCCTTCACGACGGGCTTCGACGAGATTTTGCAGACGCAGAGAGGGGTTTACGCCATTCCCGACGGTGACCTCAGAGAGCAGATGAGAGAGGCGACGGTGAAGCTTGTCGTTTCGGCGTACACGGAGTTCTTGAACTCCTCCTCGACGACGTTAAGAGGGAGGTCGTTTCTTAGCCCCGAAGCCATCGAGGGGAGACTCAACAAGTTTTTCGACGCGGCTGTTGGGAAGGGGGTGAGTAATCGTCGTGATTATTTCAACGATCCGTCGGGCCAGAGGAGCTCCACGTCCGCTGAGGCTGATATCAAGGGGTTTCAACGGTCTGGATCGCGTACTAGTGATGTGTAGAGAATTTTGTGCCGTTCACGTAAACGGCTTTGGACGGACAATTGTAATTGGGAAATTTATAAACTTTTTAACCCCACAACTTTGTCCCAGCAAATTCTAAAAGACGTCATTCTGTCCCCCAGTTTTTCAAAAGCTTTCATAAATCCCCCTTAATCCAAAGAAATATACCAAAATATAAATCAGGAAACGATGTTGTTGCCTGTTGTTGCATCATGATCCACGACACCAAGACCTTAATTGTTAAGTGCAAGAACGAGAAATTATGGACTTGTTCTTTTAGATCAAAACTAAAAAGAATTAAATTTAAATTATAATTTTATTTAAGTTCACGGTTTTTTATAAAATTTAAGTTTTAACTTGAGTTTGAGCTAAAAGAGTTCAAATTCCTCATTAAATTTAAGTTTTTAAACTCAAACTTAAGTTAATAAACAATATTTGTTTTATTTTTAAAAATATTATAACTTTTTCATTTTAATTCCGATTTAGATGATTTTTTTCTCTGTGTTCACAACGAAAAAATGAATAAAACTCCACTCATATACCCTATTCAATTTTTTTATCACTATTGTGTTTTTATTAAAATACTATCTAAATACAAATTCAATTTTTGACACATCTAAACACAAACTCAAATAAATTATCAATTCAAATCATAACTCAAATGTGTACATCTAAACATAAATTCATATTACAACTGTTGACGGTTAGATTTCGTCAACAATAAACCCGCCGGAATACCTTGGGGTTCTCCTTTGGATTACCGGCTTGTGGGTTTAATGAAAGTGTGGATTCAGGTTGAATTTAAGTATTTTTGTGTTTGAATGAACTGTATGTAAATGAACAAGAAGAATTTTATAGTGGTTCACTCTATGAAATTAGAGCTACGTCCACTGTATATACTATATTTCTTTTTGTGGAAATCTGAGTTTACAATGAATATCATCTCTCTTTCATTCTCCTTTTGAAGTTTTTCGGACCCCTTTCCTATTGGGGTCCTTCTTCTTTTGTACTCGGGCTTCCTTCACTGGGTGGGTTTCCTTCGTAGGTAGGAACACTCAAGTGCTGTCACCCCCTAGGCCCAGACATAGCCCACTAATTAGTACTGTTCACTCAACCAATTAGTATTCTATTACGGCTCTGTAACTCTCCGTAATGCTTTTCTGTCCCCTGGGGGGCGGTTTGTAAAATTGCAATTAATGCTGTCAGCCTTCCCTTATCTTTGCATGTAACCTATCATGTCGAAAAGGGAC